TCCTGACTTCAAAAAGAGCAACTTCACACCCTCTGCAGCCTCTCTATAATGGACCAGGCCCCCTTAAGTGATCTCTAATGGAAGCTCTTAGGGGAGGAGGCATTCATTCATATTCCATTCTGCAATACCACCACCGCAAATGGGTCAAAGAAAATGCCATTGCACACAGGCTTTTCGACTCTCCAGGGAATTGCTATGGTCAAAGAGGATGAGGCTTGGTGGTAATCCAGATTACTCCCCTTCCTAACGTCCCCTCCTTTTGCCAATCTACATTAATCCAAAAGAAGCACACTATGGCTTAAGAACACACCAGGCCATATGCAGTGGTGTTGACAAATGCTGCTTACACATCATGCCTGGGCAGGCTGAAAAAATCTGAATAGTTTGACATTTGGAAGTATGTTTCAATTGTACCTCATGTTCATTCATGGCCACTCGCTCTGCCAACTTCAGTCCATTCATCTGGGTGACTCAAAAAGCGTTGTACACTTTGTGCATTATGCAAATGCTTTCCTTGCAAACCTCCAGTGTAATTTCTGATGAAATTAATCAACACTGTTAGGGTGTCATTAAAAGGAAGTCATTGAGAATTACGACATGCTGGAATGAGGGATCAGGGAGGGGAAGAAAAAGAAAAGAGCAAGCCTTGCTCATTAGACACCTGCAAACGAGCCCGCTGATCACCCCCACTATAGTTTGAACAATGTTGTGATTTGTTTTCTCCATTAACCAGCAAGCGGAACACGACTCAGACCTAATGCCTCGTAACAGACAAAACCACAGTGGCTGTTTGGCTAACGCGACCGCCGTCACCAGTGCTGCAAGAATACAAAATATCAGAAAGGGAGACAAAAGGCACATGAAATATTGATGCTCTTTACAACAACATCTGCTATGTGCCGTTTATGAAATATTCAGGGATGCATGCAGACAACGGGAGACGCGTGGTGGTTTGTCATGGACTTGGGTGCTTCATATTTTACAGTATATGTGCTGAGCTGTGGAACAGAGCGTAAACACAGAGCTACTGGAGTAGGAGAAGATGAAGAGGGAGGAGCACTGAAAATTCTCTTATGACACTAAATGCCTGGTTTAAGTGCAGCAGCAGAAGCATTAACACTAAACTCTCAGAGGTAATTTACACTGAGTGGTGCCATTTCATCTGCACTACAGACTTTGTTTGTGGCAGAGTGCTGCAACAGAAAAATTGGTACCTTGAAGAAAAAAACAAATCAATCTATCTATCTATGTATCTATGTATCTATCTATCTATTAGGGGTGCAACATACACAAAATTCTTGGTTTGGTTCGGTTCGGTTCGATACTTTGGTGTCACGGTTCAATATTTTTTCGATACGAAAAAATGTTCATGCCTTTTAATTTGTCATTTATTAAAATTATAAATATATATTTTAACTCAAAAGTATGGTTTTTAAATGTAATGTTGCTGAAACAACAAAATAAAAAAAAATAAAAAATCTATCTGATCGAGAAATCGCTCATCTTTGGAAAAGAGAGTTTATTACAGAGAAATGGCTCTTTCCAAAATAAAAGCTATACTATACGTTTCTTCTGGGCTATATTCTCAGCAGCATATTAAACATATCAGTGGGAACAAACGCACTAGTTCCCACCAATTGAGCATTGCGTGGCTGTTTTACTTTTGTCCATGATGCTCTTACCATCAGGGTCATGCTTCACATGAAAACCAAGATAGTTCCAAACGCCAGATCTGAAAGAGGGTGGGGGAGGTTCAATTTCGAGCTTAGCTTCTGTCTTGCTAGCTTGCGACAGTGCAGCCTAGGCGGAGTAGTCGAACGGACATTCACTGAGCGCTCAACACAGACAGCATCGTCAGAAGAAAAGTTGATGAAATAAATAAAATGTTTTGTATTGTTTGATACATATGCGTACATATAGTACCGAAAGCACTGTATCGAACGGTTCAATATCGATACGAGTATTGTTGCACCCCTACTAACTAACTAACTATCTATCTATCTATCTATCTATCTATCTATCTATCTATCTATCTATCTATCTATCTATCTATCTATCTATCTATCTATCTATCTATCTATCTATCTATCTATCTATCTAACCTGCTTTCCACAGATTCCCTTAACCACACTTCCAATTTCTCATGCCACCACACCTCCTTCATTTTGCCTTTCTCTGTCCTCCCTCCGAGTCTGTTCCCGGACCTGCTAATTCAAAGACCAAGCGGCACCTCATATGTGCGATCAGTCGGGTTTAACCAAACTCCCTTAGCCTGTCGACACATCCCAAGTTCAAAGAAGACAAAAGGAAGAGTGGCTGTGGGAAGAGTCAACCCCCTCCCTTTCAACTCCCATAAATCTTTTAATCATCACACTGACAGGAAGTGTTTTTTCCCCTTCCATCTCCCTTGATATGCCAGTATTTTCTGTACTCCTTCTCTTTCTTCTTTTGTCTCCAACATCTCCCGTGCTCTCTCTCCTCGCCTCTCCTCTAAGCCGTCTTACCAAATAGCCAATCCTTCTTTTTCTCTCCCTCTCCATTTGACAGCACTCTCCCTCCATCCCACCTACCCCCTCGTTGTCTGCCTACCGTGGAGGCTTTAATGAGTACACTGGCAAGGTCTGTAAATTATTCAATAACTGGAAGAAGAATCTCTGATTCCTCCCCTCCCCCCTTGTTATTCTAAAAATAGATTTCCTTATGTTGGGAGTGACTCTGAGCTATTAGAAATTAAGACGCTCATTGTTGTCTCCTGATGGGGTGGAGATTTGACACCGTATTTTGAAATAATAGTTAAGCTGTGATTTCATTACTTTAGATTAATCATTGGCTATGAAACTGTGAAATCAGGTTAAAACAAGCAACGGAATTTGAATGAAAACAACGGAATTAGAATGTATAGAACAGAATTTGAATGAAAGCAACAGAATCCTAAAACAAACAATAGCATTTGAATAAAAAGAGTGGAATTAGAATGAAAAAAAAAACCAGCAATTGAATGAAAACAACAGAATCTCAATGAAATGAACGGAATTAGAATGAAATGACTAGAATTTGAATGAAAACAACAGAATTAAAATGAAAACGATGGAATTTGAATGAGAACAACAGAATTTGAGAACAAACAATCGAATTTGAATGAAAACAACAGAATTCGAATGAAAACAACAGAATTTGAATGAAAACAATGGAATTTGAATGAAAACAATGGAAGTTTAAAACAAACAACAGAATTAGAATGAAAACAACGGAATCAAAATGAAAACGACGGAATTTGAATGAAAACAACAGAATTTGAATGAAAACAGAATTTGAACAAAAACAATGGAATTTGAATGAAAACAACGGAATTAGAATGTACAGAACAGAGTTTGAATGAAAGCAACAGAATTCTAAAACAAACAATAGAATTTGAATTAAAAGAGTAGAATTAGAATGAAAAAAACAGCATTTGAATGAAAACCACGGAATTTCAATGAAAAAACAGAATTCGAATGAAAAGAACAGAATTTAAATGAAAACAACGGAATTTGAATGAAAACAACAGAATTTGAATGAAAACAGAATTTGAACAAAAACAATGGAATTTGAATGAAAACAACGGAATTAGAATGTACAGAACAGAGTTTGAATGAAAGCAACAGAATTCTAAAACAAACAATAGAATTTGAATAAAAAGAGTAGAATTAGAATGAAAAAAACAGCATTTGAATGAAAACCACGGAATTTCAATGAAAAAACAGAATTCGAATGAAAAGAACAGAATTTAAATGAAAACAACGGAATTTGAATGAAAACAACAGAATTTGAGAAGAAACAATGGAATTTGAATGAAAACAATGGAATTTGAATGAGAACAACAGAATTTGAATTAAAAGAACAGAATTTGATCAAAAACCAAAGAATTTGGATGAAAACAACAGAATATGAATGAAAACAACGGAATTAGAATGTATAGAAGAGAGTTTGAATGAAAGCAACAGAATCCTAAAACAAACAATTAGGGGTGTCAAATTATCGCGTTAATTGCGATTAATTAATTACAATGCTATTTAGCGCGTTATGTTTTTTAATCTCGTTAATCTAATTTTTAATCTCTTGACGTCATTGATTTTGTATGAGAGTTGCTATGTTATAAAATCCGTTTTTATGTGCTGGGCTCCTTGTGCTTGACTTGTTGGGGGTGGAGTCACGTCGTGAGGTCAAGGTGAGAAGTGGTGATTAGCTTACAGTGTGGATATGGAGGCGCATCTGAGAGTTGTTGGCCCAATGAACGGGAAATTTGTATTTCATAAACGCCCCGACGGCACCATTGACAAAGGTAAAGTGGTCTGCCTAGAGTGTAAGAAGGAGTTTGCTTACCACCGAAGCAGCTCAAGTTTGGCCTATCACCTCAACGCAAAGCACCCAGCCGCGAGTGCAGCAACAGCTAGCAGTGAAGACGTTAGCAATATAGCAAGCCAGAGCAAAGCTTTTCGCCAAACAAAACTAGAGAATACCCCTCGTATGAGCAAGTCTGCGACCGACAGGCTGACTAATGTTATTGCCAAGTGGATAGCGATGAACTGTAGGCCGATAAATATAGTAGAGGACGAAGGATTGACAGAGGTGTTGCAAATTGCGTCCAATGACCCGTCATACAAGCCGCCGTGCAGGACTACAGTAATGACCAAAATCAGCAAAATGTACGACGGCGAAAAGAAAAACAAACTTGAGATTTTGGCGGAGGATTCTCCCAACTGTGTTGCTATAACCGGAGATCACTGGACCTCAGCTGGCAACCACAGCTATTTTGGGGTGACTGGACACTTTATTGATAGTGAGTGGAACCTCAACTCATTTGCACTGACCGTCATGAGAACAGAAACCAGGCACTTTGCTGATAAATGCAAGGTAGCAAATGACTGGGGTATTGAAAACAAGATATCCACCATTGGCACAGACAGCGCAGCAAACATGCTGGCTGCTATGAGAGCACTTCCATAAGAGCACATCGCCTGCAATGCTCACATTCTCCAGAGGACCATCACGGTATGTCTCGATAGCAGTGGTTTTGTCGGTGTACTGGCAAAGTGCCGCAAGATTGTTGGTCATTTTAAACAAAGCCCTGCGAGTACCACAGAACTTAACCAACAACAAGTAGCACTCGGAAAGAAGAGCGATCAACTTATACAGGATGTACCCACCAGGTGGAACTCGACTCTCGCAATGGTCTCACGCCTCCTATGTAACCGAGAGGCTGTCCAGGCTACGTTGGACCAACAGAACCACAGGTTGGTCTTGCCAACCGAAGCTGAGTGGGCGAAACTGCAGAGGCTGGAGCTCCTGCTTGAACCATGCAAGTAAGTTCAAATAAACACCTTCCCATTTTAATTATATAAACTACTGTTACATGTGTAAAATCAAAATTAATGAACATAACAAGGAACTTTTAAGGACAATTAAATTGGAAATCAGTTACACTTTGATTTAAATGAATCCAGCTAGGTTTATTTAGCAAACCTCTCCACCTCTGCAGGTATGTGACAGAGCTGCTGGGTGGTGAGGCCTACGTCTCTTGCTCTGTAGTGCTGCCTGCTTTTCGCCATCTGTACCGTGTCATGGACATTACTGATGATGATCCTGCCTACGTGGTGAAGTTCAAGAATGCCTTCCAGAAGGATCTGGCAGCACGACGAGCTAATGGCAACGAGATATGGTTCGAGGTGGCCACAGCATTGGATCCACGGTTTAAGGATTTGAAATGTCTTCCAAGAGAAAAGAGGGAACAGGTAGGACAATAAGGTTAAGCTGGACTAATGAGTCCAATTCATTATCAAATCAAACTTTTATTTATTATATGGAACACAAAGTTCTTTACAAGATTAAATAAAATAAAAAAAAAAGCACTTAGTTTTAATCACATTCATTCATTCATTCATTCATTCATTCAGGTGTGGACCATTCTGGAGAATATGCTCCAGGCAGCAGAGCCCAGAAGAGCAGATAGTCTCCAGCCCTCCACAGAGGATGATGGACCAGCTCAGAAGAAGAGGAGGAGCGAACTCCTTCTGGGGTCTGACTCTGACTCAGAAGATGGAATTGAGTCTGGAGAGCTGCAGCGCTACAGAGCAGAACCCAGCATCAGTATTGATGACTGTCCCCTGCAGTGGTGGTATGCTCACTCAGGAGTCTATGAAAAGCTGTCAGTCCTAGCACAAAAGTACCTGGCCTCCCCAGCTACCTCTGTACCCTGTGAGAGACTCTTTAGCCTTGCAGGCCACATAGTGCAAAAGAAAAGGGCAGCCTTGCTTCCAGAAAATGTTACCAGGCTGGTGTGTCTTAGCGACTGGCTGAGGAAGAAGAAATGAGACACATGTGGTCAGCATAGCTGCTGTGTCATTTGTAGCCTACTAGAATAGATTGCTTGATGTTCAGCACTTTTTTTTGTGATGGAAGAATACTTTGATGTGCTAACTTGCAGCACTGCAATGTTAGTTTTATTTTTCATTATCTGAAGCAGAGGAATTTCAGTGCTGTATTGCTCAGAAAAGAGCAACTCTGATGTGCTAACTTGCAGCACTTAATTTATTTGATTTTATTTGTATTTATTTTTCCACTTATTTTACAAAAGAATACAACAGTATGTAAATGGTTGCATCTGTTTAACGTTTGTTAAACAATAAATGACTTTATAAAGTCACTTTCTTTGTTATATCAGTCTTTTGGTCTGCCACAATAAGTTGAGGGCTTTCCTCAGCTATTTTTAGGTGAGATTAAAAAAGAGATTAATTAGATCAATTAATTAAAAATCATAATTAATTAATCTCTATTTTTTTTTATCTCTTGACAGCACTACAAACAATAGCATTTGAATAAAAAGAGTGGAATTAGAATGAAAAAAAAACAGCAATTGAATGAAAACAACAGAATCTCAATGAAATGAACGGAATTAGAATGAAATGACTAGAATTTGGATGAAAACAACAGAATTAAAATGAAAACGATGGAATTTGAATGAAAACAACAGAATTTGAGAACAAACAATCGAATTTGAATGAAAACAACAGAATTTGAATGAAAACAACAGAATTTGAATGAAAACAACAGAATTTGAATGAAAACAGAATTTGAACAAAAACAATGGAATTTGAATGACAACAATGGAAGTTTAAAACAAATAACAGAATTAGAACGAAAACAACGGAATCAAAATGAAAACGACGGAATTTGAATGAAAACAACAGAATTTGAATGAAAACAGAATTTGAACAAAAACAATGGAATTAGAATGAAGACAACGGAATTTGAAAACAAACAACGGAATTTGAATGAAAACAACGGAATTAGAATGTACAGAACAGAGTTTGAATGAAAGCAACAGAATTCTAAAACAAACAATAGAATTTGAATAAAAAGAGTAGAATTACAATGAAAAAAAACAGCATTTGAATGAAAACCACGGAATTTCAATGAAAAAACAGAATTAGAATGAAAACAACAGAATTTGAGAACAAACAATCGAATTTGAATGAAAACAACAGAATTTGAATGAAAACAACAGAATTTGAATGAAAACAACAGAATTTGAATGAAAACAATGGAATTTGAATGAAAACAATGGAATTTGAATGACAACAATGGAAGTTTAAAACAAATAACAGAATTAGAACGAAAACAACGGAATCAAAATGAAAACGACGGAATTTGAATGAAAACAACAGAATTTGAATGAAAACAGAATTTGAACAAAAACAATGGAATTAGAATGAAGACAACGGAATTTGAAAACAAACAACGGAATTTGAATGAAAACAACGGAATTAGAATGTACAGAACAGAGTTTGAATGAAAGCAACAGAATTCTAAAACAAACAATAGAATTTGAATAAAAAGAGTAGAATTACAATGAAAAAAAACAGCATTTGAATGAAAACCACGGAATTTCAATGAAAAAACAGAATTAGAATGAAAACAACAGAATTTGAGAAGAAACAATGGAATTTGAATGAAAACAATGGAATTTGAATGAGAACAACAGAATTTGAATTAAAAGAACAGAATTTGATCAAAAACAACAGAATATGGATGAAAACAACGGAATTAGAATGTATAGAAGAGAGTTTGAATGAAAGCAATAGAATTCTAAAACAAACAATAGAATCTGAAGAAAAAGAGTAGAATTAGAATGAAAACAAAAGCATTTAAATGAAAACAACAGAATTTGAATGAAAACAAGGGAATTTGAATGAAAACAACAGAATTTGAATGAAAACAATGGAAGTTTAAATATATAAGTTTGAAATCATACATTACATAACCTAGATGGAAGCCAGTTGTTTTTATATTACATCACTCCTACAGCACTTAATGTACATATAAAACAAAACTTATATAGTAACTATCTGTGCTGAGTATTGTATTTTGGCTTTGTTGTACACTATTCTCTTAGTTATTTATTGTTTCATGTAGCAATCTGAAATGAACTATTCTTTCTGTCCCTTGTGCTAACAAGTGAATTTCCCCAGTGTGGGATTAAATAAAGTCTAAACACTGTAAAACTGTATTAAAGAAAATAGTAATTATATACAGCTGGCTTATAATTACAGGAAAATTAGTTCATTTTAACCATGATGAAAAAAAGCTGAACTTCTGTCATTATTTAGGAAGAAAATCTCAGTGAAACCCACAAACCGAAGAAATGTGTTTTAAATGAAATGATATCTCATGTGGAACATTTGAATTACCAACCAGGAAAGTCACCACAACAGAGACCGAGGACCTTTTCTGACAATATGCTATCCTCTGTTATCTTTGAATTTTTCATTATGTATTCATTTTTTTATTGATTTTGGATATTGTTGTATCTGGATATCTAGACCATGCCATTCTTTTGTAATCTTCCAGCTGAACATCAATCATCGATTTCATTTACTTTAAGTGAATGACTAAATCATGACTAGATTGAGTATTTTGGTCTCAGCACATGCATGCAGATGTTACTTATTGGAAAGGAGAGTAACACTTGAGTGTATTTGTAGTCTTGAAGATAAATGTATGATGCTATAGCTCATTTCACAAATAATAAGTATTTTCAATGACGCTCCTATGGCATATTTACCTTGTTGGTTATTTAACTTTTGTGGAAATAGTGTTTTTTTTCTGAAACATTTATTTCTCTACACTAAAATAACCACAAACTCTGTTAAAAGCTGTGTAATACGGGCTACTTAGCACTTGAAAGTAATCCATGATGTCCTTTATGGACACTACAAAGCCTGGTGGTAAAAATGTCAGATAAAAAAAAATGGAGAAAAAAAGAGAAGAGAGTTTCTGTGTTAACTGCGATAATTCCTTGAAAATTACAAATCTTTTGCCATCTGCTGCAAACATGATGTCGTCTACATACACAGAAATTCACATGAACTACTTACATTTACAGTCCAGCCAGAACCTCACAGAAATTCCTCCACAATGCTTAAACAACAGATCCATGACAGGAACAGTAATTAGCATCTTTGGAGTGGCTGTCTCAGTTTGCCTGGAAAAAGATAATCACATACAAATTTAGATTTCCACATCAATTTCATCAGTATTCACTTTTGATAACTAGGGGTTAACTCGTAATTAGTGCTGTCAGCGTTAATCTTGTTAAAATGACATTAACGCCATAACCGCATTAACGCGGCAAATCTCCGTTAGCGAGTTAATGCCCCATGCGAGGGGCTGCATGGCACTAACACGTTAACGAGCTAACACGTTGATGCCGTGCAGCCCTCGCACGGGGTGATCCTTTTTTTTGTTGTTGTATTTTTTAACATATTATCTCTGTAAATCTTCAAAACTAGAATTTTTTTGGGTGGGGGGTGGCCCAGTGAGCCTTATACAATTTGTAATTAAAATATAGGCACGAAGCTCTACACTTACCCATGAGGCCCATGGAACGCACAGAAACACACAGTCACAGAGCTACGATGCTAATTAATTGTCCAATAGATGTGCTTTAATTTTTTTTAATCCTTATTTAAGTCATTCTGGTAATTAGGTGCATGTTATATATGTTTTTGTCACAAGAACCTGTATCCACCAGCTGTCTCAGTTTTTTTTCTTAAGATGCCACATGCTACTGTTAGTCGAGAGCTCCAGGTGTGTGAAAAAAAAATCCTACTGCTGTGCAAAAGAAATGCCAGGATATTAAAGCTCAGCAAGGGAACTGACATTTGTAAGGGCTCAGCATTATCATCTCGGCTATTCACGAGTTATTGTACATACACACACATACACAGACACAGCTCTGTTCAGAAACCAAACACTCCATCACATGAAGCGTCAGAGGAGGATCAAGAGATGATGAAACAGCTTCATGTGTTATATAAGACACCACGCCTTTGATCAGATCCACATCCCCCCACCTCGTCTTTCCCTCCTGCTGTTTCGCTCCTATTTCTCAGCTGATACGGGGAGAAAATGCGCCTCCCTGAAAATGAAACACAACAAACAAATGAGATCGGGTGTGTTGACCTCACTTTGTAATCCACCATGAAATATGACTTCTGATGGGGGTGTAGTGTTAAAGTAGATTCTCCCCATGTGCGCAGAAGAGGCTGTCTCTTTGTTCATTTTGGGCCTGAAACTATTTGCTTTCATTCAGGAAAAAGAGAAAGGAAAATAATTCATCATTCGTTATTTTCTGACAAAACATGTAACCCTATTAATTTGTGGTTTTGGTGAGAGCTCAGAGGGGAGGAGATGGAAAAGCAGTGGGAGGGTGCCAGTATAACAAAGAAGATGGTGGTGCTTGTGCATAAGATGAAGGAATGCTTATTTTCTGCACTTCTTCCTGTGTCTTAACAATGTATTTGTACACTTGTGATGTACATGAATTAGATTAATTAGGTTTTGTCATTCAACAGAGTCTTGAATTCTCTGGATCAGCATGTGTAAATGGGAGTAATAATTGTGATTACTCATAGAAGAGTTTATTTAAGGCAAAGATAATCTAAGGAATTTCTTCATTTGTCAAAGTTCAATTTAAAGAATCTTAAATCTAAAACAACATTTGGTGTCTTTTTATTGTATTCAGTTAAATATAAATGGCTTCTGTCTCAGGTTTTACCAGACTACTCGTCATGATGGATGGCTCTCCCTGAGTCTGGCTCTGACAGAAGTTTCTTCCTGTTAGAAGAAAGGTTTTCTGTCACACTATCACTAAATGCTTGCTTATAGGAGGTTGTTTGATTATTGGGGGTTTCTCTCTATTATTGCTGGGTCTTTACCTTGCAGTCAAAAGCCCCTTAAAGTGACTGTTTTTGTGATTTGGGTCTATATAAATAAATATGAATAAAACTAAAGATTCATTACCATGAGGGGTGAATGTGATCACCACAAATAACATTTCAATTGCTTTTATTACGTTGAGAAACTCTTAAGACATAGAATGACCAAAGCTGTCTGTGTGATTAAAAAAAGCTGTTGTTGCTTGTTG